GCTCAATCTGTCCATGTTGGGCGTTCCAGAGAAATGGAGCCACCACACTGAAGGTTCTTCTCCAGAAGGACTCTAGTCAGGCCAGAGGTTGATGTGGAACCACAGGAGCATTCCTCCTCTGAGACACTTCAGTGCTTCAGAGGAGAGGGTAAAAGGGTGTTCTGCAGTGAGGGGGCTCTATTTTCCCCCAAGGGGGCTTATGTGCCTCTTCACAAGGCATGCTGCCAAGGCCTGGTGCCATTTTACTGTTGGCTGGCCTTGCTAGACAAGGCTGCCAGAGGATGGAACCAGCATTCTCGCTCTCCCTTCATTGTGGAGTTCCAGGTTTCACCTCTCTGTGTCTGAGTGTGTATCATTCATTACAGTGCTGGCGCATTAGCTTAGCAGCTAGGCTCCTATTCAGAATAAGCATTTCCTTATCTAATTTGTATGGATGTTGGCTTGCTGCACATTGGATTTTTCCATCTCCTTTTCTTTTTAAGCAGAGGAGAGTTGCGTTTTGCCAAGTTTGGGCTATGTATTCATTGCTGCTGTAATTCAGATCCAATCCTTCATTACTGAAACACTAAACTGAAGATCTGACAAGCAATATATATAAAAAACTTGCTTCCAGCTCTGAGGTCCAAGATTCCATGACATCAAGGCTAAGCTTCATCAATTTAATCAATTATAACAGATTGACTCTGTAAAAAAAAAAAAAAAAAAAAGCTTCTCCTGTTAAAAGTGTGATCAAGCTTCTTTCTCTCCCCCTCATTCGATTGAAGTTACTTCTGCAGATTATTGCTGATAATATCAAAAATTGGGTTTTAACTTATTTTAATTGATGGTGTTTTGCAAAATCCTCAAGCAAAAATGACAATAAAATCACACACAACTGATTTTTGTTTACATTTTTAAAGGGCACACAGAAATCATTTTTAGTCTGTCTCAAGGAATTTGAATGGAAGAAATGGCCAATCTAGAACAAATTCAGCTCCAGAATAGTGTAGGTGGAGAAAGATATTGTGGGAAGGCTTCTGGGTATTTGCATGTAAGACCAGCTTTATCCTGGTCAAAACTCATAGTGGGTTGGTTGCTGGCCAAGCCACAGCACACCCCACAAATACCATGGTCTGTTTGCCCTCTCCCTTCTCCCTGGATACTGCAGCAGGGCCAACTTGTATTGCCAACATTTGTCAATAGAGATGTTGTATTGCTGCAGCTTTTGCTCTTTGTGTTCAGCTCACTACAGCTTTTTAGCCACTTGACCCTCTTTTTGTCCTCTGAAAATTGGAGAAGCCAGTCTGACTGTGTACATGATTCCCCCACCCTTACTCTGGAGGGAAAGTAAACTTCAACAAATAAAGTTTCCTATTCAGGTGGCACAAACTCAGTTTCTTACAGTTACAGGATCCCACTCCTGAATGACTAACGGCTGATAAATAGGGGTCATAGATCTTGTGAAAACCTACTCATATTTGGGCCTACCTGTGCAAGTAACACCAGTGTGGTTTATGCTACATGTTGTGGCATTAACACTGATAAGTTCTATGGGGCTATTTGCTTACTAATGAGCATTGCAACACAACCTTACATACAAAATGAACCTCTTTTTATCAACAATTTTCTAACAAAACATCATGAACAAAATACTATAACCCCTGCATGGAAGCCCCTGGCAACAGCACCAATATGAAGTCTGGCTGTAGAGCCATGAAGTTCAAGTGCCCTTTTGAATCCAAACGCAGACAAAAGAATCCAAAATGGCCTCTTCAACTGGTTTGAGTACCCACAACACAGGAGAGTCGGCTGCATGCACAGAATCGTCAAAACGCTGGAATAAAATGCCAACTCACCTGTATATTCATGAATTTGTTATGTGGATTCACCCCACAACACAAACATGTAGGAATTAGGCCTGGACCAAGTCAGGAAGAGCTTCAGGGGCAACAGCAGCTCCCGCCTCTTCAGTTTTCTGCTCTTTTTGGTCTGTATTTCTTACAACCCTGCTCTTAGTCAATTTACAACCTGAGCAGCTGCAAAAACAAATAAATATACTCCTGGGGGAGTCCTCACCCCCCCACACCCCCCACTCACACACACACCATGGATCCAGGCCTGTAGCTTCCTCTTGTTACCTGAAACATACTCTCTCACAACACTTAGCCTAACCACTTAGCCTGAAATCTGCAGCCATGTTGTACTTCCTGTCCAGGAGGGAGGGGAGAGGTAAGGAGAACCCTGTGTGAACTCCTGGGACAGGATGACTGGATGTCAAAGAGGGTAAACGAGAAGAATCTTTGGAGCCTGGGTCCGGTTGGAATCCGGGTGAAGCCTCCATAAAAGTAGCAAATGGTATTATAAATTACTAATAGTTGAGAAATATAGAGCGGATGTGAATAATTCAGAGATAATCAACAGACACATTAGAAAGGGGAGTCTCTGGATAAATAAAGAGTTTTCTGTAAACTAACAAATAGAACAAAGAATAATAGGGAAATGAATTTACTTTGTATCTGGACAACCTGTTATGATGTAGGGTATATAATGTATGCTCTCTACCTCTTTCAAGACTCTGATTTGGGAAGCATCTCCCCTCTGTCTCCGTTTATTCTATAGTGCACCAGAATAAAACTGCAATTAGCTCTAAGTCTCGCCTCAGGCTCTGTTTGGTTTTTGGGTCTGGGGTCCACCCAGGGTTTGCCCCAGCTGTTAACTGGTTAGAGTCCGCTAACACTCTCAATATATCAAAGCACTGTAACTTGACCGCTAGAACAGGCCTCCAAAGTCTATCTTAAGATGAAGGGTAGATTTTGGAATGTATAAATAATGAACAACAAGGGTCCATACCATCTCATGCCCTGCGGAGCTATACCTTGAGCAGCATTCCTTCACTATTTATAAAAAAGAAAAATAAAGGAAATTGATAATGAAAGACTGCTCCCCCTGTGGGGAGAGGAACTGACACGAGGCAATTCAATTAATTGCCCAGACAGGCTCAATAGGAAGCAAGCAACAAACTTGTGCTTGAGGTTATCAGAGGGCTTTGCAAAGGGGACTTGTAAGTGGCTGTTACAAAAGGTTTGTGACTGTGGGGAAAGGCATTGTGGGTTATTATAGCACACTATGTAGAACCTCCATTTTGATTTTGCTTCCAGCAAACTGCTGCCGAACAATACCTCAGCTGTTATAAAGGGCTTTAGCATGAAAACACATGCGACAAACAAAACAAAACATGTTTTCCCTAGAATATCATAGCAGATGACCCTTTGTACTCTTAAATACAGCAAATAAGCACACCAGGAACGTCCTGAGGAACATACTCTGAATTCTCTGAGCACTTCACCAGGATCAATTTATGACATGCAGCATTGCCATTTACTACATTTAAAAAAGGATACTTTTAACCTGATCTTGATGCTAGGTTTCCTGGAGCAGACAAAGCCAAAATTAAACCCTGCTGATTTCTAAATGCAACGCTGATTAGTTCAATGTTCTTTTTCATCATGACACAGTTTTCTCCCTGACATGTATAAATGAGCTCATAGGTCATTCATACATAGGTCGATAAACTGAAGGGGTAGAATTGAATAGAAGCCATGCACTGCAGCTGAAAAGTTCATGCGGAAAACCCCAAGCAGAAAACAAGAGGGGTGACGTAAGGTTAATTCACAGGAAGAAAACTGATGCATTCAAATCATGGTGATGAAGGAGGCTTTCTAATAGCCTGCACCAGCAGGAAGACAAACAATCAAGCCAGAGTTTTCTCTAGAAGCACACATGACGAAACTGAGGACGTAGTACTTTGAGCACATCCTGAGAAAGCAAGATTGACTGGAGAAGACAGTAATGCTAGGGAAAATCAAAGGCAGAGGAAGAAAAGGAAGAAAGACCAAATACGAGTTGGGTTGAATTTAATGGACAGGACATTTTGGAGAGCTTTCATTCATAAATCAGGGATGACTTGATGGCACAACAAAACCAAGCTTAATTGAAACTGAAGTTAATGGAATTATTCTGACTAAGAAACCTACTCCCTGTGCCCTTACTCTGTTGGGGTATATTGCTTAACAACACTGGGCCCCATTTGACAAGAGTTCCTCTCATTTCCTGACTCTCTTCCCACTGCTCCCAATTCAATTCTTGGGGAAGACAAGATGCTAAAAAAACGATGTCATTCAACAATGATCTTTGGAACTGATCTTTAGTATGAAAGCAGGACTGCCACAACAAACATTTCCCTATTTTTATCTGTGGAATATTGCTTTGTGCAAATCCTGGAGAACAGGTCTTGTGTAGGACATCTTGCTGCCTGATGTCCTACACAAGACCGTTATAAAAGACCGTTTAGGGGCCCCCATTCCAACTGCAAAAATTGACCACAATGCCAGCCAAATCTCTTGAGGATGGGGCAGCATCTTCCCCCGCACATGAGGGCAATGGGCTCAGTCAGAGGGGAGCAGCACAGACCCCCTCCCCCTGCCTCCTTGCGTCTGCCATAGGGGGGCCACTTGCAGGTTACCAACAATTTTAAAGGAAAAAGGCAATGCATCACATATGCACTCCTCCCAAAACAGAATAGTGTGTCACATAAAATTTTATATGCTCATTTACAGGTGTGAATTTAGACATTATTACTATCATTAGACTAGAAGAGCAATACATTTCACAATATAGTAGGTAGACCATGAACTGGTGAACTGCAGGCCTGCCAGCTCCATCTGCTGTCCACACTGAAGGACAATTGCAGTGGTGTTTATCTTTAAACCAGTTTTGGTCTGGAAAGCCCTTTAGAAAGAGGAACACTTTCAAAGAGAGAAATGTCCTCTGAGAGTCTGGCAAACGGAGGATTGTCTCCCATATGGTAAGCTACATGGCCACCTTAATCTGCCTGAGACAGAGTAGCCCTGTGGCAAACTTTGAAATTGACTAGATTGTTGGATTCCCTTATCAGACCAGTGGTTCCCAAACTTTTTCGGCCATGGAACCTTTCTGAAGACATTTTTTCCATGGAAACTTACCTCTTTCCCCAGTTTTTACTAAACATTGTAGACCTACAACATTCTTCCTTCTTTCATCTGCTCCTGTTGTCTGAGTACTTTACATAATGTAATAGGCTTGGAAATAAAGAGAAAGCATTTTAAATATAATGAATGAATAGAGCGATTATATGGCAATATCCCAAATAAATTATTTTCATTATTCCCAACATTACAAAATAGAGTCCTAGGAACCAAATGACATGATGATGATGATGATGATGATGATGATGATGATGATGATGATTACATTTTTATACTGCCCATAGCCAAAGCTCTCTAGGCAGTTGACAGCAATAATCATAGAATCATACACTCAAGTCACCCATCCCACTTCTGCCCAGGCCAGACCCTGCTTAGCTTCCAAGATTAGGCAGGATCAGGCACTTCAGGCTACATGGAAGCTGAAAATGATGCATTTCATTGTTTGCAGCTTGGACACCAACTGACATTAGAATAGTTGGCCTCATGTGGTTTCATTTTAAAATCAGTTTGAAATTTGATTTTTGAGATTTTTCATGAAACCCTTATGAGGCTTTTGTGGAACCCTAGGGTCCCACGGAATGCAGTTTGGGAACCACTGATCTGGATCATGGGACCTAATAGGCTGCACTTAGAGTACAGCTGTGGGCTAAGAAGGACATGGATAAGTTGGAGTGGTCCAGACAAGAGCAATCAGGCTGATGAAGGGTCTAGAAATCAAGTCTAGGTATGCTTAGTCTGGAGAAATGAAGATTAGGGGAAGACTGAATATCAGTCTTCAAATATCTGCAAGGCTGAGCTGCAGAAGGCAGAGCAGACATGTCTCTGGTAGGCATGCCATGAGCGGAGCCAGGAGTCCAACTACATGACTGAGAGGCCCCTTCTGGCTCGCGCTGTTTCTGTATTCCTGTGTCTCCATGGCTCCTGAAGACAGACCTAAACCAACCAGTAAAAAATTCTGGCTAAATGTTGGGAAAAGGTTCCTAACAGATGACTTTTTGACAGTGGAACAGGTTGCCATAGGAGATGCTGCATTCTCCACTGGATGCTCACCTGCCAGGGCTGCTGTAGTTGCAACTTGCAGTGTGGAGTGTGCCCTGAGTGGGGAAGGGGAGGGAACTAGATGCTGTCTAAGATCCCTTCCAACTCTATGATGTGCTTCTATCAGACTGGTGTCACTAGTTAGACTGGTGAAATGCCAAGTACTTGGCAATCTGGCTTTTGTTTTCAATTGCACTGCGAAATTTCAGATGTTTTGAGTCATTGTACAAGAGATGCTTTCCACTACCATGCCAAATCCTTCGCTTTCTTTCCAGACATGTCCCATTCACTTGTCAAGTGCCCTTAGTGAGCTGCTCATTAATTGCATGTGTTTCCAAATTACCAGCCATGAATACTGACTGAAGCCTTCCAATGGATTTCTGAAAGCACTTTTCTGTTAAAGAAAATAACATGGTATTCAAGAGAAAACTGACTTAGTGTAAAGAGAATCTCTCAAAGGGAACCAACTCAATCAAATTCAGTGAAGCCAAAATGGAATAGGCATGGAAGTAAAGTGTGTACTCATGGCACGCTACAACTATAGAAAGATGCTGATTTATAATTGGAGCCAGTTTGCAGAGATCAGGTAGCATGTAAGTATCTTATTTGCATAAAAGGCCACTTAGATGATTACCCCTGCATTGAGTCTCACACAGGTTGGGAGTTCACTTCAGCACATTCAGAAGGCGATGTGTTGGGGAAGGCGGAGATCAGTTATGGGGATCCCACAGTGGCAAAGTTCATTCCTTTGTGATGTGTAAGAGGGAAGCTTTGACCCACATGACAGAGTACTGAAAGAGTAATAATGTTATATTTCACATTAACGCTCCCATCAAAAACCTATTTTCTGACTCAAACAAGTGCTACTGATTTTATTGGAGTTCTTTCCCCCTCCTGGTTTTGTCACCAACAGACAGAAGGAATCCTATCTGCAAATAATCATACCAATAATAATAGTAATCCTTTCTGTCAATTAATACAGGAATATAGAATATCATCTTCCACTGAACAGGCTGCCTGGTCCATCCAGCCGAGTGTTGCCAAGTGGCTTGCCAGGGATGCAGGCCAGATTCCTTCCTAGCTCTGCTTGCAATGCCAGAGACAGAACCTGGAAGCTTCTGCAGGCAGACCGGGGGCTCCATGTCTGGTTATGGCCTGTCCCAGCTGCGGCTCATTGGTGGGGCCACAGGGTCCAGCGGAGGGTGCGAGGGAGCAGGAGGTGGCAAGTGTCTCGCCTGAGAGATGCTTCCTCTCACTCTCCCCCTGCTCTGCCCTGCCCATCAACCCATGGACACTCCTGTTCTCTGCGAAGATAGGCCACAGCCTCTTCCTACCATTGTGTCTTCGAAGAGAACACCCTTTTGTGAATCAGAGGAGGGTCATAATTTCAGCTGTGAAATATTCTAGAGTTACACAAGGTTCCCATTTAACTTTAACTTTTAAACTGAAAAAGAACATTCTTTATTTATTTATTTATTTATTTATTCATTAAAACATTTTTATGCCGCCCCATTCGCCGAAGCCTCGGGGCGGCTTACAACATAGATAAAACAATAAGTTAAAATATCCATATAAAATAATCTTAATTAAAACACACATTATAAAATAAGCCGCCCTGGCCAGATAAAATTCAATTGTATTTAGCATTTAAAACTTAGGCAGGGACTGAAGGAGATGCCACGCTCCAGCTGTTTTTTCCTGTGAGCCTTCATTGCAACCTTTCCAAATTATAGCATTGCCGAGGATGGTGCTCATGGGTTGCCCAGCGGGGCTGGAACACCACATCTTTCATTTGGATCCCCAGTTCCCTGGGAGGCCTTCTGCCCCACAACGCTGCTGTCCGTGGACAGAAATACAGGCACAGGGCCCTGGTGATCCCCCTGGATGAGCTGGGGGTTTGCCCACAGGTGCTCCTTCCACCTCTGTTTTGTTTCATCTGAATTTTTCTCTCTGGTATCCAATGTGCCCCCTGCATCCATACCTCCATTTTTGCAGACAGAGGTGATGTGCTTAGGAGGCAGGGTTCTTTCAAGACACACACATGGGCATGTCCACATGCACACAATTTAGAGCAGATGTCGTCTCTGCTAAATATTCCCCCTGTGCAACTGCTGCAGCAGATGATCCACAGGGGTGATGCCGGCACCTGCAGCAGGAGCAGTGCCAGGCAGGGATTTCTCCCTTTGACGAGCACGGCAGGTGGGAGAACTCACCCAGCACCACAGTGCCAGAGCAGCCTGCTCCAGGGACTCCGCAAGGCTCTCCCAGCGGGAAAGAAGGGAAGTGGAGGTGGCTGCCGGATGAGCCAGGGAGCTGCAGTGGGGACTGCTTAGCGGGCATGCTGTGGCTCAACATATCCTCCAGTGCTTCGGAAAAGCCGTCTGCACTGCAAATCTGCCCACATTTCTTTCTTGTTTGCTTCTCTCCACGCAGATGTTTTCCCTCAGCTGCGACTCAATTGTTGCATGCTGGGGTGTTGTTCGAACTAGTCGAAGGCCGCTGCTGGACCAAGCTGGCCTCCTGTTTATTTTCTATATTTATATTTATATCCTGCATTTTTTCTTGCAAAGAACTGAAGGTGACTTACATGGTCTTCCTCCCCTTCAGCATCCCGAGATCCTTTTCACAAGTGCTGCTCTCAGCCACTTGTCCCCTAATCCGTACTGCTGGATGCCATGAACATGCAGGCATAATTTATTAGGGCATGCATATTATCATCTGCACAAGAGATTTATTACCTAGTTTGTTTACACATGCCCTATTTCTACTGAACATTTTTGTAAAGAATGTCCTTACCACATCTGGGAGCGATAGGTTAAGGAGCATGTTTCACTTTTGTGGGCCAAAGCAGAAAACCTTTGTTCATAAATGTAAAGATTTCAGGTAAAACTTGTAAACGTCCACATGCTGAAAAGGGGCAGAGTCCAAAAGAAAAATATTTGCCTTATCAAAGGTGCTCCATTAAGCGCTAAGATGGAAAAATGTTAAAAATACACACCATGCTTACATTCCTTCTCCATTAGTGGCCATTCTATTTTTCTGTTAGGTTCGTTTGTCTTAACTGTTAATCGCTATTACCAAGCAAAACAGAATTCCAAGTAGATGGAAAACATAATCCTGGCCCTTTCTAAGCAGTGTCCTGCATCTGTGTATGTGTCTCTTTCTGCAGACACACTCTATTGCAGAGGCACACTAAGCTTTTCCATCAGCACCCGGGTCTCCTGGACCAGCAGCGGGTTTTATTCAGCTGGCTTCTCTCCTAGTCTGCCTTCTCACCAACTTTGTCCCCAGCAGCCATTGCTCCTCAGCCTTTTCTCTCGCATGCTTGCCTGAGAGGCAGAAAGCCAGTGAGCCAGCAAGAGAACAAGTGCACCCAGCACTCTCATTTCCACTGATACCGCCACTGTTCTGCAGGCCAGAGTGAGAGCAGTGAACTAAACGTGTGTCATGGTGCAGATCAGTGGTTCCCAAACTTGGCCAGCAGGGTCCTGTGGGGTGTGGACCTCCACAAGAGGGGGCCCACCTCTGCCTGCCCTTGAAACCGCTCTCGCCAAAGCTGAGGGAAGAGTGGAAGCATTCAGCCACCTTTCCCTGTGCTATGATCCTAGTCGAAATCAGGGTCCCATCCAGCTAGGTTTTTTTGAATAAAATAGAGTGGCCAGTTTAAACACACTTAAAAAAAAAAGTGTGAAAACACATATGACATCAGGCTGTAAAACTCATGCCTGTAAAGCTACGCGATTTCTTAGAGGCTTGGATGTAGGACCTAGTCTGGAATCAGAACACAGAGCAGTGGTGCTTCCACCTTCAAGGTCTTTCCCCCCTGCACACTTTTTCCCCTTTCAAAATGCTGAGAGCAACATTCTGGAATGATTTCACCTCCCTTTGCTCATTATAACAAGAAACTGCTAAAAATAGGGACCAGCAGGATTGAGATGGTCGGCCAAACCGTTTGTCAAAACCTAGCTGCTTAAATCAACAGCCATTCAACCATAGCAGCTTTCCGTTTTCTGTTCCTGTGGTGCTTTACACAAAATAATATCT